GAGCGAACCTGGTATGTGTTCGCTCACCTCCCGATCTACTGAGCCGACCTGTGACAGTCTCATTGTCACAGGTCGGCTAGAACTATGAGGTGAGTGGAAATCACTCATCTCATAGTTCTCCTTTAAACCTCAGATTTAGGAGAGGTGTTAACTGTACTGTTAGACTGTTAGATATACAGACAGACACTACAGGGAGAATCTACAATTCTTTATAATTCTTTATATGGAACACAACCATGAAAATATGGAAGAGTAAAGTTTCAGCATCTAGGTCTCAAGGAAAGCTGAGCCTTGTAGTCCCACAAAAAACACAGAAACCACATTTCACTTAAGTGAGACTCGGTAATATTCAGAATCTGTGCCTAAGAAATCTTGATGTTTTGAGACATTTCATTTGGTTATTTTAGATGCAATCATACATATTTTATAGTGAGCTGTTCTGGTCTTTTCATAAAACTGCAATGAGATCAGAGAAGGTTTACTGGATAGAAGACTCTTAAAATGCATTAAGATAAGTGAAAAATCACACTCATTATGGCTTGCCATGGCCCAGAGTGCGGCTACGTGGACTGTAAGTCTTCATTTCACAGCCTGGGTTTGCGGAGGCCAAGTTACTAAATTAGGAAGACCCCCGGGGTGAATATCACATCAATGGCTTGAAGTGAATCTGTCACTTTGCCCATTCAGGACAAAGTGACAGGTTTTCCCCCCCGTGTACAGCTCCATGTTGTTATTCTGTTCACAGAGCTAAGGACCTTGCACCACTACCATGTGTAGATTGTACATAATAGAGTTTGCCTAAAGTGGTGACAGGGTCTCTTTAATAGTACAGCTGAGTTACTGTAACTGTTGAGGAGATAACTCTCCTAATAAGGCCCATTGTTAGATTACCTTGTGATCCCCTTCCGATAACTGGGTGGAAAAGGAGGCATCGTGCTGCAGAGGATCCTCTGTACTCTCCAGGATCACAGGACTCTCTCTGTGGCCAGGTACTTCTTCTAAATGTGACTCAGATGTGATATCTTCTGTAGGCTGAACATCAACACAAACACCAATTCAGGAAATCAATGCAAAGAACCGTCATAACAGCAAGCCACATCAACCAGTCATAATAGTTGGTGTACGTTATAAAGCCAAAAGCTTGTGAACAGCAGATCATTATATCTACTGTATGAACAAAAGCATGTGAAAGAAACTCCAATAAATGAGTACAGGTGTTCACTGTGAAGAGTCTTGTTAATACTACAGCATGCAAAGACATTTAGATAATTGTGCTCTTCCAGCCTTGTGGTAACAGTTTGGTGAAGGCAGCGGCGTATTTAACTTTGCTGCTGCCCTAGGCAAGGCAGCAGCGCCCCCCCCCCCGGACTGACCC